TTGTTGCTATTTATCATGCTTGACTGCAATGCAATTAGCATTTGATTAACAAACAAGCAAATGTTTATTTATTATTCCAATGTTTATCCAGTACCGTTATGCCCAAGCGCACACAGACACGAAAAAGACGAAGATGATAATGTCTTTGTAATCTGTCTTGACGAAATTTCGATGTCTGTTCAAATCCTCTTCAGAATGTTATGGCAAACTGCTTAATCCAGAACTCCTTCCCATTCACTAAATTCTTTTTGAATAGCTCCCGATTGCCAAACTGAAATTTTTGTCCGAATTTTTGGGATGAGGGGTTATCATTATTTACATTCGGACAGTTGTCCTCATCTTTGTTGTTATTATCACAACGCATCGGCCGCTGTACTCTCCGGCCTTCTCCAGGGGTTTGTTGAATCCCTGGACCGACAGACACATGAAGGCGACCTTAATGAATGACGCCCGAAATGTGATAATAACAACAAGTATGAGGATAACAGTCCGAATATAAATATCTCAAATTGTAAGTTGATTTCGTCATTATTTACATTTGGACAGTTGTCCTCATCTTTGTTGTTATTATCATAACACCTCGGCCGCTGTACTCTTCGGCTTTCTCCAGCGGTTTGTTGAATCCCTGGACCGACAGACACCTGAAGAAGACCTCAATGAATGAAGCTCGAAATGTGATAACAACAACAAGTATGAGGATAACAGTCCGAATATAAATATCTTAAATTGAAAGTTGATTTTTTCGAAGTGTGTGTGTGTGTGTGTGTGTGTAGGTGTGTGTGTGTGAGTGTGTGTGTGTGTGTAGAGGGGTGGGTCTAGATTTGTAGTAAAGGAACGTTTATTTACAAACATAAATATTTAAACTTTATTGCTTGGACGATATTTTTTTAATGCGTACTCATTTGAATATACAGAGAAGTTAAGGCACGTTTGATCTAATGACGTAATTACTTAGGAGATGCAGGTTCGAATCCTGTCGGAGGACGCATATTTTTCTAACACGATTTCTCGAATATTCAAGCCCGCATGTGGAAATAAATAAATATACTGTTTAATAAATGAATAAAAGCAGAGCATTTACCCAAAATACGGGGATCCATTAAAAGTAACGTTTAAGTAATAAAATCAAAATATGTCGGATTAATAAAAGAAAAACCCTTCCTATATATATATATATATATATAAAGGTTAATGGTCAAAGCTGAATTAGGCCAGGAAACAGTAGTATTAAAAAAAAGCTCAATACACGTCAGATAAAAATAACAAATTTTTAATGTAGGGTCTATATATATATATATATATATATATATATATATATATATATATATATATATATATATATATATATATATATATATATATATAAAAGGTTAATGGTCAAAGCTGAATTAGACTAGGAAACAGTTGTATTAAAAAGTGCTCAATAAACGTGAGATAAAAATAACAAATTTTTAAAGAATTATATCCAACTTTGATAAACTTGTAAAATATTTCGATACCTTTACAAAAAAAAAAAAAACAAAAAACAAAAAATGAACTCAAAAAAACAAAAAACAAAAAATGAACTCAAAACAACAAAAAACAAAAGAAAGATAAAGAGAAAAGAAGCAATTTGAGTCGCGAAAAAAAAAATGTCCCGGTTTAAGATTAATAAATTTCGTTTATCTTATAAACATGGGATTACATTTTTTTCTTTCCTGGCCGTGAGAAAGATGATCCGAGGAATGGGATTTGAATCCAGTTTTTAAAGATCATATCTCGCTTAAACATTAAAGTTCAACTCCCAATCAAACAATACTATTTTAGTATATTTTTTTAAAATGCCGTATCCCTTCAGGTCATTGGCGGTCACGACACTCCACAGCTTCCTTTTCCTTATTATTTGTGGATTGCCAAATAGAAATTTAGGAGAGCGGTTTTCACATTACCTATTCAACTACTTTAGAGTTGTCCTCTTACCTGGTTGCACCCAATAATCAACTCCACTATTTTACCCAGCTTACATGGCAATATCACGTTGAGCAACGTCGAGCCTGGTCAGTACCTAGATGAGTGACCGCTTGGGAATACCAGCTACTGTAAGCTTGGATGAGCGGGTGGTGTAATAGATAATGGCTCGGAATAGTTAATCAGAGAGACGAGTTCCAATTCCACTTGGGCTTGCTATATTGACTTTGGGATATTTTCCCCGCCCCTGTTATGGGTTAATTAGTAAGATTTGTATTAGTATTATTCAAGAAAATATACTTACCATCTAAAAATATTTTCTGGCTTTAAATACGCTGTAGAAAACGAATCAATCAATGAAAAATATTTAACCCATAGCTGGGGAAAAAGAAGATATCTGAGACAGTGAAGGCAAGCGAATTAAACCGGAATTTGAAATCGGCTCGCCAATTTCATTTTGTGCGCCGATATCCCTTATGCTACCTGCTTATTCCATTTGACTATGTGTGATAAGAATAATATTAGAACAAAAAACAAAAAAACAAAACAAAAAACAAAACAAAACAAAAAGGTCAGAAAAGATATTGGCAGAAAGTTAATTTCAGTGGTTGAAAGAGGTCTCTTTTACCTTACTGTTTATCGGACAACAGAACTCCAAATTCTTTGATTCCAAATTCTTTGATTTCGCGAAACTTGTGCATCACAATCAGAATCGAAGAGGAGAAATTTCCATTCTAATAGAATAGTGAAAAATTAATCGCTAAGACACTATTTACATTACTCGGATTATTGTCCTCATCTTTGTCGCCATATCTATTACAACGTTTCGGCCATTGTACGCTCCGGCTTTCTTCAGGTGGTTGGAATGTCGAACTGAACCCTTTATTTCGCTCACTGGGGTAGACTGTTCTACTTCCACGTGCCATGTTTAATGGATGTCAGTTATCAGTTATCTCCTGTTAATTCCCCTCTGAAAGTTCTGCACTGCCTTAACCGGGTATTGAACTCACACTCTTTGGGTCCTGTCACTCTAACTAACGCCTTTGGGTCCTGTCACTCTAACTAACGCCTTTATCCACTGTGCTATGTGTCCTTGAGGACACATGGCACAGTATATAATCCGAATAATGTAAATAGTGTACATGATACCTCATCTCAGAAATATAGACAGATACTAATCGCTATGTAATGTAAAGAATGAATGAGAGAGATTTGCGAAATAGTGAAATAGTCTGGGAGGAGGGGTGCATTGTGAAGAGAGAATGAAATGAGAATAGAAAGGAAGAGGGGGAGAAAAAAGGAAACGAGGGAAAGAAAAAGCGAAAAATGATAATGAAAAACTGAAAAGAAAAAAAAGAAAAAAAGAGAAAAGACGAGAAGAAAGAAAAAGTTAAAAGAGAAAGAAAACGAACGTTTACAAAATTAAACGAAAAAAAAAACGAATTTGCGAAAGATAAAAAAAAAAACTGGACTGTGTTGAACAATGAAGAAAATGAAAGAAAAGGCGGGAATGAAAATTATGAGAGAGACAATGTCAAAAGAAAATGAAAGAGAAATAAAAACAAAATCCACTGAAAGAAAAAGAAAGAAAAAAGAAAGACGAAAAATAAGAAGCAGAAAAAGAAAGAAAGCAAGAGAAAAATGAAAGAAATGGAACAATGAAGAAAGAAAAAAATGAAGAGATGAAGGAAGAAAGAAAAGAAAGAAGAAAGGAAGGAAGAAAAGAGAAGGAAAAGAAGAAAAGAAGAAAGAAAATAGAAAGAAAGAAAAAAAGGAAAAGAAGGAATGAAAAAACAATTGAATGGATGAAAGAATAAAAATAAACAAATAAAAGAAGCAAAGACTAAAAGAAATATTTTTTAGTTTGGTTTGGTTTGGTTTATTTTACGGCATATCAACCTCAGTGGGTTATTTAATGCCAACAAAATTTTTATTGCCGGTAATATTTTTTTCAAAAATGTATTGCTGGTAATATTTGATTTTCTTCAAAAATGTATTGTTGGTAATAATTTTTTTCTTAAAAAATTCATTGCTGGTAATAATTTTTTACAAAAATGTATTGCTGGTATTAAAACCTATTTTTACACTTTCATGGTTAACTATTTGCCCATAACTGAGACCCTAACAAGTACTACCACCCCGGGTCAGGGTGGACCAGGGAACATCAGCAATTAAGAGGTGGTTCCACGCCCCTCAAAACCTCCTGATCAGAGGCCTTGCTGTTGGATGTAGTTTATCGTCTTACCCAGGATGCGAATGTAGTTTAACGTCCTATCCAAGGCATCGAAAGATTTTTTGTTTTATTCTCGAAAAAATTAAAAAAGAGTAAAAGAAAAGAACAAAAATAAATAAATAAAAATAGCGTGAAACACAGAAGCAAATAAAGAAGACAAAATCCAAAGTCCAAAATTAATAGTGTTTTGCATTCTTTGATTTCAAAGCGGCCACCCTTCATGTTATTGTTTAACGTTTTAAACATAAGTTAGGAAGAAAATAAAGAAGGTAGGTGCGTCCTGTGCATATGGGCGTTGCCTTTGCGGCCGTGAATGGCAGACTGCAAAGAGTACCACCTCTTGACAGTAAAGTAAACGGACGAGAGGGAAGGTATGAAAAAGAGCGGGAAATATTTGTGAAGGAGAGTAAAGCAAAAAGGTTAAAATGATTTCTGTAAATGGAGATGAAAGAAGAGGGCAAAAAAGGTTGAGTGAAGAAAATGAGAAATGAAAAGAGAGAGAGAGGAGAAAATAGAGGGGAGGACAAAAATAATAAAAGGGAAAGGTAGGAAAGGAATGAGAAGGAAAGAGAGAGAGAGAGAGAGAGAGAGAGAGAGAGATAAAATAGGTGGAAGTAGGAGAAAAGAGAGGAGGAATGAAAGAAGACTTTCGAAGAAGAAAGATAAGGTTTGAATGAAAGGGAGGAATAAGAGACGAAGGTGATGAGTGAAGCAATACAAAGGTTTTAATGGAAGAGAAGGAAAAAATGAAGAAGGAAAGAAAAGAAAGAAACAAGGGGTGTAAAAGGATGACGAATGAGCAAGATATATTTGAAGAAAATTAGCTAAAAAAGACAGATAACGAGAGAAAAAGTAAAGAAGAAGAAAAAGAAGGAGAAGAAGAAAAAGAAGAAGAAGAAAAAGAAGAAAAAATAAGAAAAAGAAGGAGAAGAAGAAAAAGAAGGAAAACGAAGGAGAAGAAGAAAAAGAAGGAAAACGAAGAAGAAGAAAAAAGAAAAGTAAAGAAGAAGAAGAAAAAGAAGAAGACGGAAAAGAAAAAGAAGGAGAAGAAGAAAAAAAACGAAGAAAAACTAATAAAAAGAAGAAGAAGGAGAAGAAAAAGAAAAACGAAGAAGAAGAAAAAAGAAAAGTAAAGAAGAAGAGGAAAAAGAAGAAGAGGAAAAAGAAAAAGAAGAAGAAGAAAAAAACGAAGAAAAACTAAGAAGAAGAAGGAGAAGAAAAACAAGAAGGAGAAAAACAAAGAAAAAGGAAAAAATAAGAAGAAGAAGAAGAAGAAGAAGAAAAAGAAGAAGAAAAAAGAAGAAGAAAAAGAAGAAGTATTTGGGATGAGGCTAGAATAATAACAGAGGAAAAGAAAAAACGTAGAAGCGAATAAAAAAAACGAGTATTAAGAAGAGGTAAATTAGAATTAGCTAAAAAGACAGATAACAAGAGGAAACGTGAAGAAGCAAAAGAAGAAAAAGAAGAATAATTTGCGATGAGGTTAAAATAAAAACAGAGGAAAAGATAAGACGTAGAAGCGAAGAAAAAATACGAGAAAGTAAGAAAAGGCAAAAACAAAAGACAAAAAAGAATGAATGAAAAAGAAATACAAAAAAAAAAAGAAAAAAAAGAAAAAGATTGACCGTCGGAAAATGGAAGGGAAGAAATTCTGAGAATCGAAGACAAAATGATGAAATAAAATGAAGAAAAGAACTGGGAAGAAGAAAAAGATAAAAAAGGAGCAAAAGAGAAAAATGAAAATGCAAAACAAAAAACAAAAATAGAAAGAAAAAAACACACACAAAAAAGAAAAAAAATCAAAAACAAGAAAAAATAGAAGGAAAAGATGAAAAGTACAAAGAATCAGATGCGTGACGAGAATGAAAGAAGAAATCGAAGCCCAATGGGTGAACAAAGGAAAGAGAGAAGGAAAATAAGAACCTTTGTAAAAAGCAGATCGCGTTTAGGCTGAATCTATTGCCTTGACGGATTTTGCCTGTGTCCGTGTGTCCGACTATCAATTTGATTTTTTTTCAAACTGAGCATTTCATTGCTTCTAGCGAGAAAGTACAAGAACAGTAATGGCCGCCTTGTGGCTCGCAATTCACATGCAGTCCTTTGACATTTAAGGCGCGGGCCGTGGAAATATTTATGCTGACCCCCTTTTCTCATCATAGTTAATATAAAAGGTAAATGGAAAATGTTCACAATGATATATATTTATAAGTACGCCTGTCCCACAATAATTGTTCCATATCCATACACAATTCATACACTAAATGTACCAAACATTATGGGACAGAGGTAGTTTATTTTTATTTCTATCTTTCTGTCCCATAATAATTCTACTTCTGTCCCATAATAATTGTTCCATTTGCGTACACATTTCCTACACTAAATGTACCAACCATTATGGGACGCAGGTAGCCGATTCTTTTCATGTCCTTTCAGGACGTAGGCGATCATGGCTCTCCACTCCCTCTATCCCTTGCAACTCTCAACAAGTTCCTTCCCTCTTCTTCATTCCCCAAATCACGTTCCCTCATTTACTACATTTCATTCATTAAATGTACCAACTATTATGGGAAAGAGGGAGTCTACTATTATTTATATAATAATACTTCTGTCCCATAATAATTGTTCCATTTGTCTACACATTTCATACACTAAATGTACCAATCATTACGGGACAGATGTTGTCTATTATTATTTATATAATACTAGTTCTGTCCCATAATAATTGTTCCATTTGTCTACACATTTCATACACTAAATGTACCAATCATTATGGGACAGAGGTAGTCTATTATTATTTGTATAACACTACGTCTGTTCCATAATAATTGTTCCATTTGTCTACACATTTCATACACTAAATGTACCAATCATTATGGGACAGAGGTAGTCTATTATTATTTGTATAACACTACGTCTGTTCCATAATAATTGTTCCATTTGTCTACACATTTCATACACTAAATGTACCAATTATTATGGGACAGATGTTATCTATTATTATTTATATAATACTACTTCTGTCTCATAATAATTGGTCCATTTGTCTACACATTTTATACACTAAATGTACCAATCATTATGGGACATAGGTAGTCTATTATTATTTATATAATACTACTTCCGTCCCATAATTGTTCCATTTGCCTACACATTTCATACAATAAATATACCAATTATTATGGGACATAATTGTCAATGTAAAATGTAAGTAATCTGCAGGTGACCTGCAATGATAAAAAATTGCCTACGTGATATTACATTTTATTCAACCCAATTAGTTCTCCAGTTACCATCGGGTAGTAGGTATGAGTGTGTAACCCCAAGGCCTTCGCCGAACGTGAACACTACAATCTCGTTTGGATGTATGAGACAACCCTGAATTGGATGGGTGTTTATACATCCATCTGTCATACGGTTCTTCCCCACGCGTAATCATCGCAGGCAGAGATAGGTTGATTGCGTGTCCCCATGCCGGGCTCTGCCAATGACATTCTGTGAGGCGCGAATATACACTCGGTGGTTAGGAGGTTACCTTTTAGACCAAATCGCCGACGCACCTGACTTCGTTGAAGGACACTATTCATTGTCCGCCCTGAAGTGATTCACATCACTTCTAGAAGATGAATAAAAAGTACAATTTTAACAATTTACTGTACTTCTACTGGTATGATGTTATATATATATATATATATATATATATATATATGATAATATTATAGTTTTAAGGTATGCCATATTTATGCATTAAACTGCTCAATATCAGGGATAGAACGTGTGTAAAGATAAAATTGGTCATTGAAGTCAACATCCAACTGCGACAGTCTTTTTCATACTTATACGCAATCGTCAGGGCATGTGCGTTGTGTTTTTGCTCGACTATTTATATATATACAGGTCAGTGATGCATTGTGGGTAGTCTATACTATTGTTCTAACGGTTATTTTGGTTGGTGACAATAGTTACTATTCTCGGGGCAATTGAGTGGAAATAATTGTAGATCGGAATGCAGTTTTTTGGCTATTTATAGTGTTGTTCGTTAATTTTTTAAAAATTTATTATTGTTAATTTGTTTATTATTTACTATTTTATTGGTTTGGCTTAATTTATTCTAATTATTTATATTTTTTTTTCATTTGTTTAATTTTATATATTTTTGTTAAATTCTTGTTCGTTTTTATATATATTTATTTTCAACATCTCTCTCTCTCTTTCTCTCTCTCTTCTCTCTTTCTTTATATATATATATATATATATATATATATATATATATATATATGGAACTCATAGTTTCTCTTTATATTGTGTTTTCACGATCGATATATCCGCAAGCCGCTCCATCCAGAGCATTAGAAGACGGTTCAAACAAGGATATACAAATGACATAAATTAAGGAGGATTTGAGATAATTTTAATTCATAGATTGAAGAAACCTCAACAAGCAGAAAACACGAGCAGTTTCTATCCTTGTATATCCTTGCTTTGAACAGCCTTCTAATGCCATGGATGGAGCATTAGATAGTAGTCAAATGGTTCAAATATATATATATATAATATATATATATATATATGTGAAAAAGTGAATATTATAAATAAATATATATATATGTATAATTATTTATATATCGAGTACTAGAAAGAAACCTCATATCAAATAGAAAATATTTGGTTGGACGGCAATTGGACCCTGGGTTTCACTTATATATATATATCCGATGTGTTTTTTGAACAGGTTTGAATGACAAAACGACGAAAGATTGTATGCAGACACCCCTGGATGGAGGGGCGATTTTTGTCGTTTGTCATTCATGGTACATAAACATCAAATTTTTAAAACAGTAATCAGGACGACCAAAATGTGATGTATATGGTCACAAACTCACATCTATCCAACTAAATATATATATATATATATATATATATATATATATATATATATTAAGGCAGTTTTCGTTAAATAATTTAGACATGTTCTGTCTATTTTTTTCGATAGATTCTTTCATACTTACGAATGAACTTTTTGTGTGGTTATTGAATTGAATATGCTACTGAAATATACGCACATATATATATATATATATATATATATATATATATATATAAATTGTATGTATTTAGGCAGCATTTTTTCATTCATACATGTTTTCATTAAATAATATATAAAAACAACATGTCTGGCCGCGTACACAATTCCGTAAAATCCTCGTTGAAAACACAATTATACTTAAACATGAAAATAAACAAAAACTGAAAATTCTTGCAGCTTTTTCCATAAAACAGTTGAAACCTAACCTGAACAAAATAAACTATGAAATCTCCACAAATATTCTTAAATGCCTATAACTGGTAACAGAAGCCATTGGTTTATACCAACGATTCCCCATACTTAATACTTGCTGTTTTCACACTCACGTGGTCATGTGTGACGTCATGACCTGCAGTGTCATTTTCGCTTCCAGCGTCTTATTAGCACGTGTTTATCGTTGCTTGGAAATCATCCATGTAAACAGAAACGGACTATCATCACATTCTTGCCTGTGTATTGCTTAAAATATTGTACAGTAATTGTCATCTTTGATAATGGATTATGTAAGCCGAAAGCTTAGCTTGGATTAAAAAATATGTATCAATATTGTGATTTTCTTTCTTTGTTTAATGATAATGTTATTAAGCTTATCTGACGTTATGAAAAGAATTTGCATAAAATAAATAGACAACACTTGTCTATATTATTTAATGAAACATGTATATATATATATATATATATATATATATATATATATATATATATATATATATATGGTTGACACTCCTATCGCGAACAATAAATGAGAATCAGAATCAGCAGTCAGTTGCTGAAGGCTGACGAGTTGACCGAACGATTACAAAATGCTTTGTCTACGAAACTTTTAAGCTGGTATGCTGAATATGACATCAATCAGCTACGTGACAAATTTTATATCCGTATTAATCGTAGTGTTGTAACCTATGGAAGGTTGCTGAATAGAATAATCACACGAAGTTTGGTAATGAACGATAATACTTAGGACAAGAACAACACATATAAGATTCGCCAGCGTAATAGAAGTAGTCAACTGCTTGAAGTGAGTCAAGTGAATTCCACAAGGAATCTCAAACTGCAGGGTATCTACCAACCAACCCAATCGGTCAGATGTGGCACAAGACCGAATTTAATGTGTGGTATCCGAGCCCGTAGACCCAACCAAAAATTTCCTTTAGATCCCGTATAAAACGGGGTTGGGTCTCTGTCCTTCGTCACAGCCTCATCTGGGGATATTCTCTGCCCGGAGGCAGAGAGTTTGACCTGCACAGTTGAAGACGAATCTCCAACTGTAGGATACCTACCCTCTCAATTCAATTGACAGTTGAACCAGTTTTGTGATATCAACGAATATTCGTTGTCATTTTTGTAATGCTCGTTGTAGTAGAGACTTTGTAATCGCAGATACAACTATAGTAACGTCGTTGAATAATACTGATGCCAGACGCCTTCGAATAACACTCGCACTAATAGTACTTGCTCAATAATACTCGCTCGAAGTAATCACCGAATAGTAATCCGTGTAGTGATCGGTATAGTGAAATAGTATAGTGAATAGTGTAGAAATAGAGGATAATGTAGAAAGAGTGATAGAGGATAGAATAGAAATGGTGATCAGTATAGTAATAGAGGATAGAGAAGAAAGAGTGATCCAAAGAATAATAGAGTAGAAAGAGGGAATTATTCACCTACTTCTCCACGCAGTCGGATGCGGCACAAAGCCAAGTTTATTGTGGGGTATCCGAGCCCGTAGGCTCGGCCAAAAATTCCCCGTAAAAAACGGGATCGGGTAGCTGACTTCTGAGACGAGACTCTGCCCTTCGACATCGCCTCGTCTGGGGATCCTCTCTTCCCGGAGGCTGAGAGTTTGACCAGCATACTAGGAAGAGTAGGAACAATGATCAATTAGACGCCACGCTAATTCCCATATATGCGTTTCCTCTATGGTCACGTGATCTACCTAATTCAAAATGGGATCGCCTGTGTTTGCTCTCTGGCGATCTATGTTCAATCTTCAGTGTCGGTAGCGACACTTTATTCCTATATAACATCCAGATCGATGTAACCGTAAGTCCTATGCTAACAGATTCTTCATCTCACTTCTCGTTTGTGGAATCTCTTCCGGCTTCTTGCTTTCTAGAACATTTTGATCTTCAAAAATTTTAATGCAATATTGGAGTCGTTTCACAGTGGAGGCTTGTATTCGTATTAAGTCGGTCCTAAAATAGGTTCGACATACAAAATGTTAGGAACTTGATATAATAGGTAATGACATAGAGTAAATCTAGTTGTGGTCGCTGATACTTTAGTATCCGACTAACGGTCGTCCGGCATCGACTGACTGACCGACCCACTCAGCGATGGTATGTAGTCACCCCCCCCCACGTGGGCATCAAGGCCGGTTTAACGTGGGAGCTCCGAGCCCGTGGGCTCGGCCAAAAATATGCCCATTGAACCCGTATAAACAGGTTCAGGGTCGGTTTACCTCCCGGAAAGAGAGTCCGCCCTTCGGCGTGGCCTCGTTCGGGTTCCTCCCCGCCCGAAGGCAGAGAGTTCAACCAGTCAGCCGGTCGTCTGACTTCAGACTGGACTCAGACCGACTCACTTATTATAGGTGGGAGAGTCTATTAACTATAGAATAGGTGTGTCCCACTATAACAAATATCAATCGTTATCTACTGTCTTTTTGATTACACGTCTATTGTTTTTAACTCCTTAATAATGTTTCGATTTTTTTTTATTATTCTTTCACACTCAGTAACTCCATGTGTCTTAGTAACTTTACTATCTTGCTTGCGGTGATATAATCTGAAAAAATATATATGGGCAGAAGTTGCCTAGTCCTCACTTTCCAGTCTCGAGTCCAAAAGCGTCTCCGCGTCCTTGTGGGTGGTGAATTATTTTCCACCCTACAACCCGTTTTCCACAGACGAAACAACGTAAGCCTTTCGCTGCTCTATCGCTATTGCCATGGAAAATGTTCAGATGAACTATACATTCCTTATTTCTACCGGTTCTAACCTTTATGGCCAAGACCTGCCATGCCACGCTCATTGTAGCGAATCACCTTCATTCCTTTCTCCTGGTGAGATGTAAGTTCCACTCGAGCAGTTTCTTCTCCCGAACCACTGCTTTGTGGAATCGACTCCTAAGGGGATGCTTCCTCGATCACTACAACCTTAACCTGTTCAAATCTAGGGTTAACCGCTATCTTTCGCATGCATCTGCTTCTTACTTGTACACTCACCGAAGTTAAGCAACGTCGAACCTGGTCAGTACCTAGATGGGTGACCGCTTGGGAATATCAGGTGTTGTAATGGTGGTGGTGTAACGGATAAGAACTCGGAAGTGTTAATCGACGAGTCCGTTATATTCACTTAGGCGCAAATACACTTGGGAAAGATATGAAATCAAATCATCTGCCTCCAGCTATGGGTTAATTAGTAGAACTTGTATCAGTAGATAATTATTATCTCCCCAAAATTTCTTACAATCTAAAAATATTTTCTGGCTTTAAATAAACTGCAAAAGGTAGAAAAGCCATAAAAAACAAATCAATCCATCAATGTAATCCTCTTCCTTCTGACCTTGGTGATGACGATAAACTACATCCGGCAGCAAGGCCTCTAACCGGGAGGCTTTCAGGAGCCTGGAATCACCTCATAATTACCGTTGTTCCCAGGTCCACCCTGAACCGGGGTGGTAGCACCTGTTAGGGTCCCAGCTATGGGCAAATAGTGAACCTCCAAACTGCAGTCAAAACTTTATGAAAGTATAAAAATACATTTTTATAGTAAAAATACCATCAACAGTTGTGCTAGCACAAAGTCACAAGTCGTCGTGGCCGAGGGCCTGAGCGTGCTGGCCTTGTTCAAATGGTTGATCACGCTAGATAACACGTTCTTTCCCAGAAACTGGCATTGGTTAGTCGCCCTAGTAGACAGGTATCCTCGAATACGAGTGGCCAGCTATACATACATACATACATACATACCAGAAATATATTTTTATAAAAGAAATTACTAATGCTCCGAAGAAACTAAATTTCGGTATTAAATGACCCATAAACTGTTGATATGCCTCTAAACAAAACTACAAATAAACAAACCCTACCTCGAGTGGCACTTGGGCCTTGTACAGAGTGAACATCTTTGTAAAAAAAATGAGTTTCTGCTTGTGTGTGTGTGTGTGTGTGTGTGTATGTGCGTGTGCGTGTGCGTGTTTTCTGTCTTTGTTTGACTTTCGGCAAAATTTCAAAGAACAAAAAAATATCAATTTTCTTTTGTTTATTTCCTAATAGATTCGTTCAATCGAAATATTTTTCTTCGTTACTTCGATAGACATATTTATTTATTTACATTTAAAGGGAATTCAAGCTGTCTTGGATTCTTATTAGGCTTGTAAAATACGTGTTTGTTTGTTTGTTTACCTCCCGTCTACCTTTCTTCTTTTCTTTTTTTTTTTTTTTTTAAATGTTCTTCCAAATTCTTTTCTTACATATTTTCACTCTCTTTTTCTCATTTTCTTTTTCAAAAAACAATTTTCTAAATTTATTCCTTTTTATTATCAATCGAGATACACACTAATCTGATTAGTTTTCTGTCAAAAACGGTTCACCTGGGAACAGGAACACGAAGCAATGGCCGACAGCAAATGTTGTCTTGCTATTTTCTTTCGCTGTCAATCTGCACAGTTTTCTAAACACTATGGCATTTAAAAATGAATAACAATCGTTTCAGGTGTTATTAAAAGTGTATTTGCCCGCGACTGTTCCAGGCCTCTTGTTGGACATTAACTTTCAGCATGGAAAACTGCTGACGTATAGTAAGGCTTGCTCTTCATTGAAATATCGGATGTGTCGCTGATTTCTTCGGTGTTTAAGTAAAATATTATTGACATCGCTGGTGAAAGGAAAAATGACAAAATGACCAAGAAAAAGCGGAAAACACCAAAAGCGGAATAGTTGGTGACGGATTTTAACATTGAAGGAGAATCGACCATAATTTATGACAAAATTTACTAAATTTACACATGATTGCTTTTTTTTTGGGGGGGGATTCGGATTTTGAATGACTATTGGTCTTTCTTCCTTCCTTTCCTTCATTCATTCTTTCTTTCTTTCTTTCTTTCTTTCTTTCGTTTTTCATTATTTCTTTCATTTTTTTTTCTTTCTTTCTTTTGGTCTTTCGTTTTTCATTCTTTCTTTTTTCTTTCTTTCTTTCTTTTGTTTTTCTTTCTTTCTTTCATTCGTTTTTCATTCTTTCTTTCTGTCTTTCTTTACTTCTTTCTTTCTTTCTTTCTTTTGGTCTTCCGTTTTTTATTATTTCTCTTTTCTTTCTGTCTTCCTTCCTTCCTTCCTTCCTTCCTTCCTTTCGTTTTTCATTCTTTCTTTCTTTTCTGTCTTTCTTTCTTTTGGTCTTTCGTTTTTCATTATTTATCTTTTCTTTCTGTCTTTCTTTCTTTCTTTCTTTTGGTCTTTCGTTTTTCATTCTTTCTCTTTTCTTTCTGCCTTTCTTTCTTTCTTTCTTTCTTTCTTTCTTTCTTTCTTTCTTTCTTTCTTTCTTTCTTGTTACTCTTTCCTTGCAATTTTCTTTTTTCACCTTTTCTTTAATCTTTTTCTCCTTTTCTTTACGTTTTCGTTATTCTAGCTATCATTGCTTTTTCTTCTTTTCTCCTTTCTTTGTTTCACTCTTTATTTCCTTTTCTCATTCGTTCTTTTTTCCTCCCTTCTTTCTAAATATTGCTTCGTTATTATTTTTCACCTTTCAAGTTTTCTTCTTCCATTCACCTTTATTTCCTTCGTTCCTGATTTTCTCCTTTCTTTCATTTTTTTCCTTATTTTTAATTATTGTTTGTCTGCCATTTTTTAAAAATATCTTTCTTTCTTTCTTTCTTTCTTTCTTTCTTTCTTTCTTTCTTTCTTTCGTTTTTCATTCATTCTTTCTTTCTTTCTTTCTTTCTTCTAATTATTGTTCCTTTATAATTTTTCAACTTTTTATCGTTTTTTTTCTTTCCTTCTTCTATCCTTTTCCCCAAATACTGTTCACTTGGGAGCATGAACAAGAATCAATAGCCGACTTTCCTTATTTTCTTCTTCTATTTCATTCCCTTTCTTTTTTCTTATCTCTTTTTTTACTTCTTTCTAATTACTGTTTCCTTATGATATTCCTTTTCCACCTTTTAAGTTTTCTTTCTTTCTTTCTTTCTTTTTCATCGACCGAGTCGGCTCATTTTCCAACCCTTCTTCCTATCCTTCAACGTCACGGACTTTCAGAATTTACGTTCGATTTCTTTCTTTCTTTCTTTCTTTCTTTCTTTCTTTCTTTCTTTCTTTCTTTCTTTCTTTCTTTCTTACTTTTCTTCTTTCTTTCCTTCCAACCATCAAACTTTCTTACTTTAATTTCTTTTACTTCTTGCCAATCGAGAATATCCAAAATAGTCTTTTTTCCTCAACCCTAATTCAACTTCATCGAACGGGAAACTCTTTCGAAAGAACGCACTGAAAGCACAACGCCCAGAGTTTCCCTTCATTTATTTTCACTTAAAAGAAAAGATGAACACATCGTAAAAATGCTACAAAACACGAGGTCAAAATCTACAAATAATTACGGGAATAAAGAAAAGTGCAAATATGGATTTTGTACAAATATGGATTTTGTGAAGGAAAAATGAAAGCGATAGACAGTAGGTTTAAAGACAAATATGAGTGGCTACCGAAAGACACAAGAAAAGAGAAAAGCAAAGAGGACACAATGATCACGAAGGAGGAGAGGAAAAGAAAGAGAGAGAGAGAGAGAGATAGAGAAGGTAAAAACACGAAGGATGAAGAAAAAAGATAGTAAAAGAAAATAAAGCAGAGACAGAATAAGAAAATTTAGAGGAGAGAAGGAAAGTAAAGAAAGTGAGAAAAAGGATAAAAGGAAAACAAGAAAAGAAAGAGAAAGAAGGAAGAAAAGTAAGAGAGAGAAAGAGAGAGAGAGAGAGAGTGTGTGTGTATGTGTGTGTGTGTCGAATGTTATTGAATAAATCTAAGAAAAATAAACGGGAGAAATAGAAAAAAATTGGATAAATGAATAAAAGAAAGAAAAATTTAAAGCAAATAAATCGAGATCGGAAAAAAGAACTAGAGAGAGAGAGAGAGAAAGAGAGAGGGAGAGAGAGAAAGAGAGAGAGAAAAGAGAAAGAAGAGAGAGAGAGAGAGAGGGGCACCTTTGAAAAGGAGGAAAGAAAGTAATGAAAAATGAATGAGTAGAGACAGAACGAGAAATAACTTAAAGACAGAAAGAAAGAAGGAAAATAATAATGATAAGCGGAAGAAGAAGAAAGAGAGGACACGTAAAAGAAAGAAAGAAAGAAAGAAAGAAAGAAAGAAAAATATCAACGATAAGAGGAAGGAATAGAAAGAGAGGACATTTAAAAGAAAGAAAGAAAGAAAGAAAGAAAGAGAGAAAGAAAAGAATAATAATAAGAGGAAGAAGAAAGAGACACTTAAAAGAAAGAAAGAAAGAAAGAAAGAAAGAAAGAAAGAAAGAAAGAAAGAAAAATAACAATGATAAGAGGAAGGGATAGAAAGAGAGGACATTTAAAAGAAAGAAAGAAAGAAAAAAAAGAAAATAATAATAAGAAGAAAACGACACTTAAAAGAAGGAAAGAAAGAAAGGAAGAAAGAAAGAAAGAAAGAAAGAAAATAATAATAATAATAAGAGGAAGAAGAAAGAGACGCTTAAAAGAAGGAAGGAAAGAAAGAAAGAAAGCAAGAAAAATAACAATGAAAAGAGGAAGGAATAGAAAGAGAGGACATTTAAAAGAAAGAAAGAAAGAAAGAAAGAAAATAATAATAATAAGAAGAAAGAGACACTTAAAAGAAGGAAGGAAAGAAAGAAAGAAAGAAAGAAAGAAAGAAAGAAAGAAAGAAAATAATAATAAGAGGAAGAAGAAAGAGACACTTAAAAGAAGGAAGGAAAGAAAGAAGAGGAAAGAGAAGAAGGAGACACTTAAAAGAAAGAAAGAAAGAAAGACTAACAATAATAAAGGGAAGGAAAATAAAATGAAAGAAACAAAAAAGAATAAAGTAAAGTTGAAAACTAAGAAACAAATACACAAAGCCAGGATGTTGTTCGCTGTGTTTGGTATAATGGAGTTAAAGTTGGCGGGAAAGATCGTATCTGGGGACAAGATGACGCAGTTACGGCGGGAATTTGTCAGCAATGTTCGACAAATGCAAAGATTTTTCTCAGTTTTTGGTTAATTTTAACAGCATTTGTTCATGTAATGTGTAAATAAGGAGTTTTATCTCTCTCTCTCTCTCTATATATATATATATATATATATATATATATATATATATATATATATATATATATATATATATATATTCCGAACTGTATTTGTTCGCTTTATTTCTAGCTTGACTTAATTCCTTGAAATGACATTTTACAATAATAACCAAAAATCAGGAAGAAGTAAAGGCAACACAAAATATTCAGCCCCACAAACTCTACAAAATCTTTTTTTTTTCCGCCATTTTGAGGCATGGCGTCTCGAATTGATATGGCGTTTGTTGTACTCTGCGTGTATCAAATGACTGGCAAGCGAACTGAGATTTTTTTTTTTTGCTGTTAATTTCCAACCAGTCATACCATCTGCAGATGTGAAACGTTTGCTGCCTACCTTATTCGTTTGTTTCCAGCACATCAGTCTATCGCGGCACACATTGTCAATGTTCACACCGAACGAATAAGCGGTAACAAAAGGAGGACACTATGCATGAGAAAAGGCGAATTACAATAAACGGAAGTGGGAGACAAAAAGAAGGGGAGAGAAACGAAAAAGAAGCAGAAAGAGAAAAAGAAAGGATGAAGAAAAAAATAATGTCGCGAGTATTAGAAGAATGAAGGAAAAAAAAAAGAAAAGGAAAGAAAGAGAAAAGACCATAAATACGCGGGAAAATTTAATGGGTTTCTAGTCCGAAATGTTTGATGAATCATAATTCTTAATTTAATGATTAAATAAGATCCTTACGAGTTCCACGGCTATGGAGTACCCGTGGAAATTGCCCTTATTAGATCGTTAAATATTTGATCTTAACAACTTTGACAAAATATTGCAATAATAGTTTGAATGCAGGTCATTATTTAAAGAAGTAAGAGGGTACAAATAAAAAGATTAAAAATTGATAAGGGTTTTTATTTCACTGAGGCAGAGCTTAAAGACATGTGAGCGTTATCACTTCCTCTAGATTTCCTTTGTTTCTTTCTTTCCTTCTTTATTTTTTTCGATGTTACTTTGTTTCTTCTTCTTCTTCTAAATACTTTCTTTTTCTCACTAAAACCAAACAGCTTTTCTGATTTATCTTATTCTTCCGTCTTTCCTCGTTAACAAAATGGTATGGTCCATTATTTCTTTGCGCTAACGATAGGACGTAACGCAAAAACAAAATAAACAATAGGGTGACAAGCATATTTATAAAATGGTGATCATTTTAAGTGTGGCTTAGTGTCACACGACCGAAAGTATGGAGAATCCAGTGAGGATCGAACTCACTATTCAGTCGTAATGGATCAAGGAAGACAAACTCGCTAGCTATTACACCACGCAGAAGTGCCCAATAGTACTTTACTAAGCGTAGATTAGTTGTGGCACAAAGCCAAAAGTTTGGGGCACCCAGTGAGGATCAATCTCAATATTCAGTCGTAATTGAAGAAGCAAGACAAACTTTTTAACCATTACATCACGTCGATGTGCCCAATAGTGTTTTACTAAGCATAGATTAGTTGTGGCACAAAGCCGAAAGTTTGGGGCACCCAGTGAGGATCGAATTCCGTATTCAGACATAATTGATGAAGCGAGACAAACTTGCTACCCATTACATCACGCTGAAGTGCTAAATAGTGTTTTACTAAGCGCAGATTAGTTGTGGAGCAAGGCCGAAAGTGTGGATCACCTATTGAGAATCGCACTGTTTAGTCATAATCGATCTAGCGAGACAAGCTTGCTATTGCACCATGTCGATGTGGCCGAAAAAGACTGTTTATATGAATGTGAATAAACTAGAAAAGACGAAGAGAGAAGAGCAGAAGAAAGGACTCTTCGACAGTTTGATAAAGCAAAGGGTTATTCCGACAATCTATCATTCTGATGCTATCGACCCTTCAATATTTATATTTTTACTTTGAAATCGGACCCCACATTTTCTAAATCTTCCTATTTTTAATCCTAGTCCCTCTTTTGGCTACTAGTATTTAATCTTTGTGGAATACGAGTTGATCAATTTTGATGCTGAGATTCATTGAAATGAAACATTAACATATACACTGTCGCCTTACACACACACACACACACACACACACACACACACACACACACACACACACACACACACACACACACATATGTATATATATAAGCGTCAGCAAATATCCCTGTTGCTATGTCCCGAGATCCTCCCTGTTGCACAATATGTGGGCTTGTATGCAGGTCACTAGCGTGACTGAAGTGCCAAATACGACACAAACATAAAAGCTGAATGATGTTGTCGGATCCTCATACGTCGAAATTGACGGGAGAGTCCATTATATATATATGTATATATATATATAAATATATAATCCTATCTTGGAGTGGCAAAAAAAAACTTGTTTATATATATATATATATATATATATATATATATATATATATATATAAACAATAATTATAAACTTAAATTTTTGAAAGTGAAAATTTCACTGAAAACTATTGGGAATTTTCATTTGACATAAACAAAATACGAGTTTTATAAAACGGTTCATAATATAGGGAGAAAAGATGGCACCAGTTTAAAGTGAAGTTTGCTTTTGCTTTTTTTATATATATATATATATATATATATATATATATATATATATAAACTAGTGTTTCCCAACCTTTTTAAACAACACCCACTCCTAGGAGCCAATAAAAGATCACGGCACACTTAGTTAAATTTTGAAATGGTATACATTTAAATGTTATGAAATCATAGCCTTAAAAATACACATAAATCTGTATTTACTTTATTTCAATGTTTCTATTCAACAATTTGTACAGCTTATTTACTGTGAAGAAACGTGTGCTTGATGCTATTTCGCGATTTCTTCAATGTTTGGTCGAATGTACGATAAGCAGACCCTCATTTCTTCTTTATTTGAGCGTAGTCTTTCTCGCTTCTTATTTTTTATGTTATTTAGGGCTGAGAAGACTAATTCACATAAATAAGAAGTAGAATATTGCAATAAAACTGATAAAGCCTCTTTAACTAATGTGGGATAAAAAGTTTAATACGCATCCATTTATTCAAATACTACATCGACACAGACACATATATGTATGCCGTGACAATATTTCGCGGCACACTTAAGAGGATCTCGCGGCACATTAGTGAGCCGCGGTATGGCGGTTGAGTATCACTGATCTAAACTGTAATTGTAAAAGTTTGGAGG